GGATGGCCTCTAACTTGTTCACTTGGGGTTTTACCAGACCTTTTCCCACAATGTAGCCAAGATATTTGGCCTCTGTAAACCCTACAGCACACTTGGCAGGGTTTGCTGTAAGGACATCTCGCCTGAAGGTATCGAGGACTGCCTCCACCTTCTCCAGGTGAGTTTCCCAGTCTGGAATGACCACATCATCCAAGTAGGCAGCAGCATAACTGTTATGCGGGCGTAATAGCTTGTCCATGAGGCGCTGGAAGTTAGCTGGGGCCCCATGTAGTCCAAAAGGGAGGACAGTATATTGAAAAAGACCCTCTGGTGTAGAGAACGCAGTCTTTTCCTTTGCGTCTTCTGCAAGGGGAATCTGCCAGTACCCCTTTATCAAGTCTAGGGTAGTCAAATATCGGGCATTACCCAGACAGTCCACTAGCTCATCTATGCGAGGTATGGGGTACGCGTCGAATTGGGATACTTTGTTTAGTCACCGGAAGTCATTGCAAAATCTTGTGGTGCCATCAGGTTTGGGCACCAGCATGATTGGGCTGGACCACTGACTTTGAAATAAATGTGTTATTCATATTTATGAAATGATTACTAGATGCGTCTCCACAAGGTGTGCTATGATGCGTGTTCCTTCAAAGTACCTGATAGAACTGGAGTTATACAATAAGTAAACTAAAGCTGGATAAAAAATTCCATGATCAAAATCTGTGTAAGTGTAATAGTAATGTAAAATACACAGGGATTTGGATGGTTTGAGGAATTGATAATGGGGCACAGAGCATTTTATCCCGATCTCACAATTTACTCTTTGGAAACTCTCCAGTGTTCATGAAAAAAACCAAACCCTGGTGGTTTCTGAGTTAACTTCCTAGTAGCTAACTGTCCATAGCACAAGCAACACCACAACACTTGGCTCCCCTATTGATCTTTTGAGCAGAGGATGAAAGATTGAATGGGCATGGAGATTTAATTACGGTTTCATTTGAAGGGATGTTTTCTCAGGTGGGGTATGACACACGTTGGAAGGCACGATAATACTTCCTTGGAAATTTTGTTAATTGAAGAGACTATCATCCCTTGGATCATTTCCCTTTAAATTTGATACAAGCCTTTGCATTTTCACCAAAATGAGGTAGGACTGGGTTGATTTTTCAGTTTGCTCCAAAAACAGAAAAGAAGAAAACCCAAACCACAATTGAAAATGCCTCCCAAAAATTAATTAATCAAAGAAGCTGACCAAAATTTTATTTCGGGTTGAACAAAATGTATCATATTGGAGCACTTTTTCAAATAAAAGCAAAGGAAATGAAGGGCTAGATTCATGAAAATCAGGAGGAAGAAGAGGTGGTGATGTTCACCATATCACTTTGTAGCCCAGTGGTTAAGGGCACTCACCTGGAGATGTTGGAGATCCAGATTCAACTTCTCCCTTTGCCTGACAAGGAGCAGGGATTTGAAATTGCATCTCCAAAGCTGCAGAAGTGTGCGCTAACCACTGCACTATGGGATATTCTGGTGTTAGTCTTTCTCAATTTCCACTGTTGAAGCTGTTCCACTTTGTTCCACCATCACCGCTTCCTTCACTGCCTCCCTCCCCCTAACCCCCATTTTGTGAATGGCACTTAAGTCCTCAAAAGAATTTTTGGCTGAAACTATTCAGCAAATTTGTGTCAAATTCACAAATAGTTTTGGGTTGATGAAACTGCATTTTTTCAGTGAATAACCTCCCACCCCTCTAATTAGTGGCCAGGCTTTCTCCCTCCTTAAAGATGATCATCCCTCATGTGATTCATTAATTTGGGTGATTTATGCAAAATGAGCTTGGTCTGCATGCAAATAAGATCTCAGAAACATCTTGTATGTTACCAAGGACCACACTGGGCTAATTTACTAACTAAAATCTATAACTGGATTTCTGGGCATCCTGTATGCTCACAGATTGCTCATCTCTAAAAATGCTGAGTACTGTAGCTGTTTTCACACCCCAGAGATCAATTTTTCAAGGAGTCAGGAGACTACTTAACAGACACCTGTAGCTTTATTGTCAATACAGTTTAGAATTATGGAGCTAGGTTATGCACGCTAGCAAACATATTACTGTCTTGACATATGATAACTCAGAAGAAGTCTGTCAGAGGAGTCCTTCAGACTAGTCTCTGAAATAGATTTGTGCATAAGCAGATGGGCAATAATATTCAAAATCCTGCCATGATGTAAAATTGTCCCCCAATTAAGTCATCTGCTGGTGCAACCTAGAATATGCTCAGATTCCCTGAAGTAAGCAGCCTGTGTTCTGATTCCAGGCAGCCTGGATTTACCCATCTTGGAGGTTACAAACACAGAACAAAACTTCTCATTTCTATGCTTGGTAGTTATGCACGTTTTCTTGGAGAAGTAAGACAATATAAGGGGTAGTTAATGTTTGTGGAAGAGGCACCTCTCAAACTCTTACACAGTAAGGAATTTTGATAAAGTTTTAATTTGATTTGAAAGGGACACTTTCAAGTTTTCCAGTATATAGCTCAAAATCTCACCAACCGTTCATTATTACTATCTGCTTATAAAATCCATCTAATTTGTTGTGGGCTGCCTTTTTATACTATTTTCTTTTTTTTTAAATTAGTATTGTTTTTCTTATAAAACAATAAAATCTGACAGCAGTCCTGCACTTGAGACTTGACCTTCAGTAAGAAATCAGGGTGCCTTCAAAATAGAAATAGCTTGCAAAAATTACAAAATTTCAGGTGAATAAAATGAGTAAATATTGAATTTGAGAAAATTATGAAAAATCTTCACAGGGTCCTTTTAATTAAAAAGGAATACTGATGCAGTAAACGTGAATAGAAAGCTCAGTTCTAAGGCTTCAAAACGATTTACTGCAGTAAGAAATCTTTACTTTAAAATCCATACTGTCTGAATCTACTTGCCAACTACACCACTATAATGCAGCTCTATTTCTATACAGTATCTGACTATATGATGCACAGTATTCAAACATACAGTGCCTGGAGTTGCAAAAAGTACATTACCCACACAGGGCCAATATCTGCTATCAGTGACACTTGTTACAGCTGGTACCCTCATTGGGTGGATAGTATTAACATGGCCAAGGATAATCCCATTTACTTCATGAGGCTTTGGATCAGGTTCTGAATGAACATGGACTATGAACTACCCTTTCAATCACATTGGTATTCTCCTGCCCCGCCCCATCAAGTCAGTGTTCTAGCACATTGGCTGGGTAGTGTAGGAGGCACCTTGTTCTGCAACTGCCTTGGCTTCACCTACCTTGTGAATAAATAAAGGTTTTCAGTTCTATCCAGCATCTTTCATCAGTACTATGGATGCAATTTTTAAAAATGCCTCAGTGACTTAGGAGCACAAGTCCCCCTGGATCTTCATCATATAGTTCATTCAGATATTCTCTATTCACTTTTTACTTTCACTTAATTCACTAAAAGGTTGCTTTGATGTTGCACCTTATTTTGAGGAATCTTGGCATCTGGAATAGATATCTTGCCAATAAGAGAGATCTTCCAACAAGGCTTGAGATGTTGGTTTCAATAGCCTAGACTGTTACAAAATGGCACTAATATCAGTAGTGCATTTCTCGTAGGCCAAATAACCATCAGATGTTAGTGATGTCCAGTCACTGCTGATATGGAACACATAGAATCAGCTACTTGGAAGTGAAAAGCTCTATATCCCAATACATAACTTAACTCTGCAGTCCTCACAAATTAATCCTTTCACATGAAATGGCTAATAGGCATAAATGCAGTATTTAGGCAAAATTGGAATTGCATAACAACAAAATATGATTCTATATCATCTATATATCTATATCTATATTTATATACACAGAGAGGTTATGGGATGAAATGCCCCAAATCAACTAAGAATCAACATAACTGCCTGCTAATACTTTATGCAGACAATGTCAGATCTAAAGCACTCAGGCCCAAGAAAGGAAGGAAACTAGATAATTAAGGTTAGTCAGGAACTATCCCACTCAATTTCAGCATGCTGAGATTTAAGGTATTCATTTTACTTCTTCCTTCCTTTGTTTCCTGTGAAGCTTCACAATCACACACACAACTATCTCATGTCATGTTCCTAAGGACCTTCGCAGGCACCAACACTTTACTGACCTGCAGCATCTGCAGATAGCCTTCTTGTGGATCACAGAGCAATGAAGATATTCTATGATTATTTCTCATGCATCTCTGATTGTTGTCTCTTGACAGAGGGAAGATTTGCCGGATAACCGTCATCCTCCCGAGAGCACTATGTACCAGTTCTAATATTTCATTATCACTGATTTCCTGTGAAGAGAAACACACTCCTTTTAAACAAAACAACACACATATTTCTTGTATTCCTGCCATTATTTGATCAAATATTCTAAACAGAAAATGACCCTGAATTTTTTTAATAGACTCAATTCAGGACAAATGATCCTACTTTGTGTATGTTAATGGGAATGTTTTATATGCATCATTTAAAACAGACTAGAACTCAGCATTATACAGCACCTTTTATGCCCAATCTATCTTGGCTCTTCTTATACATTAGCTACTTAGCTTATCATAGCAAAATAATGAGATGGTTAAAATAGCTTGGTTAAACAAGGACCAATAAGTGCTTTCATCCAAAGTCTAAACTGCATTCAAGCAGAAAGTAAGTTGGTTAAAATTTTTAGGTCATTTTTTTTAAGAGCATGTCATTTTGTGCCTCATCACATCCTGATCCTGCTTGGGACCAAAAGCATAAGTGGCAAAACAACATATGAAAGGCTGTTCTTACAATAATCCTGGCCCGACCAAAATCTCATGAGAAAACCCACATTTTGTAAGATTAACAGTCCTATTTTGCAGACTAAAGGGTATGGAGAGTTCTGATAAGCATCTGAAATCTTTTGACAGTTTAACCACATTAGCAAAAGAAGTCAAGATTAGGTGAGGTTTTGTTAACACATGTAAACTAAACTTGACATAGCCATGATGTTAACCTGCATCTATATTAAGGAAAACATCTTTTATCTTAATTAAGCAGGTTGAGATCAGCTTGAGACTACCCCTGCATTTTTACTAAGGAAAAATGGTTGCCTTGACCTCTTTTCCTAATCTTGGACATTTTTCTGAATCAACCACCAAACCTTTTGGGTTCCCTTGTTAATAGCACCGTAATTGTGTAGACATTTGGAAGTGCATTACACTACCAGTGATTTCTCTCAAAGCTTTGGATGTTAGAATGCATTTTTATTTTATTTGATCAGGATGTTAAGAATCTTCTCTTAGATTTCGACCAGAGATGTTCAAAAATAGGTGCCTAAAATTGGACTTCTAGGGCCATATTTAGGCAACTAAATAGGTGGCCTGATTTTTAAAAGTGCTAAGCCCCTGACAGCTACCTTTGAAGTCAAAAGGTAAATTTTGTTATTTTTTAGATACTTCATACAAGTGAAAGGGAGCTACTGGGTGTCCAGCCCTCTTGAAAGTTAAATCATTTACTTAGATGTCTAGATATGAATTTAGGCACCCATTTTTGAAAATCTTGGGCTGAATGTTTTTGACTTTTTCATTACAGAAAAACATCATCACAGATAATGAAAAACACTTAAAGATTACGACAAAGAAAAGAAAAAATGCAGGATAGAAAGAAGACAAAGTAGTTGAAGGAAAAGAGAAAAGAAATGGACCATGTTAAGAAGAAAATCCAAAGTCATTTGGTCAACTTCCACCTCAGCAGTCACCAGAGACAGACAAACAAAAAAAGACTGTAGGTTCAAGGGTATAAAATGAGTGACTTATGTCATGACACAGGTAACAGGTTTCATGGTGGTGAACTGACCGTCTTTTTTCTGATTCATAAGTCCTAGCCAGCTGCAACACCATGATATATTAAATGATGATATTCTATGTAATAGCAATTCTGTTTTGTGAGATTATGGACAATTATGGAGATTATGTGAGCTGGAGACATTTAATTGCTCAGTATATTTGTCATTTTTAATTGCTAGGTATACCCTTGGCTTCAGTTTATCAGCTAACGTGCAGGGTAATAATGAATGCTGTAGTATCTTCACTGTTCCAGAAACATTTGGAAGAAAGAAAGTAAAGGAAGAAGGAAGGAACACCACCAATCTTTCCTGTCTTGGGACAGGCTCCCATAGGAAACTGTTGAAGCTTTCACAGCTTTGCTTCATAATGCCGAATTTGCTTAAATGTAGCACAGAAGATTTCAGAAGTTGCATTGCTACTAATGAGGTGCCATTGTTAGAACACTATCTTCTACGAAGCTGCACATGTTCCAGTCTGAACGAGTGGAAAAAATAGAGTATATGCTTTCTTTTGGGTGGTGCTAGTTTAAACAAAGTATATACCACTTCAAAGTAAATGTACAAGTTGAGAGGAATGACAAGAGAAAGGCATCTAGTTGAAGAATGCCTTAAGAAAGAGGAAGAGATTAATTAATATAGGGATGCACATGTTCCTGCACCGCATAATTTGGGTCAAAGATGAGGGTAAATAGCAGAGACCACAAACACAAACCACAGCCTAAGTTTCTTTTTCAAGCTTGGTTAGTACTAAAGTTTCCCTGCCAGACCTTCAATGTCCTAGCTCCCTAAACCCCTTTAGCACAAAAAGATGCTTCTATTGCCTGTACATTGCAGCTGAAGTTAACTGCACATGGTTTACATATTTTATATTAAAAACTATATTTGACTAGGGACATACAATGATTTTAAAATCCTGGATTTAGTTCACTACTGAAATTGCTGTAGGGTGGCTATTTGTTAACTGCCCAAGGGAATGGCAAACCAATGGTACTGCCTATTACCTTCCTTTCAAAAGGGACACAGAAGGGAACCGCCGGGGGGAGAGCGGAGCCTCCGCCGGGGCTCACCGCCCTCCTCCCAGGGGCTCCGGCTGCCCCCCCCCCGGGCGGCAAAAAAGCCAGAGCCGGCCCTGTGTGCTTCCCCCATTCTGTCAAGGGGCCCTGCAGCTTGTGTTCTGTCAGCAGCAGTGAATCTGGCCCTCAATTTTTAACATGAAAGAAATAAGTATTTTGTTTCATTTCACTTTTGCTCTCAAGCTGTGAGTGAAACGACCATGAGGCTATTATAATTATGTGGTTTGGTAGACTAGAACGGCAGCTTTGGCTCATTTTAGTCCTTTTCTGCCAATTTCCAGTCTGTTTTAGGAATATTTTTTTTAAACTTTGCAGAAGGTGAATATCCTGATACTCATGACAGGCCAACTGGTGGGGGTAAAATACATAATATAGTCTCCCAGAAGTTGAATGGAGGGCTTTTGAGATTTGTTACTGAATTCAGGCAAGCTCCTGATGCCTTTACTGGAACCATTGCTCAGGCACTCCACAGGTGTCCTGAAGACACCAAAAGATCCTCCAGGCAGATTGCTTTATGCCTGGAGTTTCTCTTCTCTGTGGGAAGCCAGACAGGCTAACCATTTGGTATGCTGGTCTTAGCAAGAAACATTTTCATGGGATACCTCTTGCCTCATCTTTTTTCTCATCAGTTATCCTTCTGGGGCAAGCCTCTTCACACACAAACTCCAACGGAGTGAGGTTAAACAACAAGAAACTTTTTTTTAAAAAAGAACCATTTAAATTAGCAAGAACTTTCAACTAACCTACACAGGAGGCAAAGGCTGGTTCAATGGCTGCACAAACTGATGAATAGACATTTAGGGGACAGGGTCTCATAACCTCAGGTCCAGAATACTTGATCTGAGACCCATGAGCATGTGTATGGCTTAATTACAGTGAATAAGTCTGAGACTCACTTAGCAGGACATGCTGTTCCTAAGGTGGGGATCTGCAGAGGAACTTCTTGGGGGAATGTTCAGCCATGACAGCTTTCACCCATCAATCACCCATATCTACTGGTGGATAAATCCATTTTAGAGATGTGGAAACTGAGGCACAGTGAAGCTAATTGACTTTCCCAGGGTCATGAAGCAAGTCAACAGCACAGCCAGGGACTGAACCTAAGATGTCAACTCTCACCTTGGTGTTTTAAAAACTAGACACTGCATCCCATTTGTCAAAATGCTTGCAGTTCTAGTTTTATAGTAGGTATGATAAATATCATGCACAGAAAGTTCATCTGAATCCCAAGAATGAAAATTAAATAAAAAGTAACCCAAAAAAGGACAAAAAATATGTGCAGTGGACTCTTGTTTTATATC